CCTGTAATAGATCGTTTAATAGACCACATAAGCCCCTTAACGAAACTATTACGTTTTTTTCTCCTCGATATCCACCTCATCTGGAGCAAAAAGAGATAAGCGTGTGAACTGCAACTCATACTCTGCCACTGTCATGTTCCCCTGCTCTAGATTAAGGAATTATGTCTTCATAGTTGTTCTGATTGCATATAGAAAGTACTTTTCATCGAAGCGAGCACTGAACTGATCATAGGTCAATGAAGTCCTCTCCTCTGCGGTGGTAACTGACTCCTACCACTGGAGTGCATCTCTGACAAGCTTGAAGGTAGCAAGCATCTGTTTTTGAACCTTTGTGTACTTAACCATACGAAGATGTCACTCGATGTCCTTCTTCCACTGGTAAGCTACTTTCGCATCGGTGGACTCTGAGAACTCAGGTGGGCTCCCCTTTGTGAAAGAACTCCCAGCCTTCTCCCAAGGATCAGTCTGAACTACTGATGCTGTGATAAGTGCCTGCTGAACCTGTGGTTGATTCCGAAGTGCAGCTGCTACACCTGCTTCTATAGCTCGAGCAATGAAGTCATTTATATGGGGAGGAAACTTTAGATCCCTGCCCTGATTGTAGCCCTGATCCTGAGGCTCCTGAGTTTGTTGGACTTCCTCCTGTTCAATATGCAACTGACCATCTTTCTCCTAAAACCCAGGCAGTTGTTACTCTTCCTCCATTTGCTGACACCGTAGGAAATCCTACTGTCTACGTGTTGCTCCTTTTCACTGCCTGTTTCTCTGATTGTCCCGTCTTCTTCTAGCGTTAACCATTCTGTTAACATAAAAAGACAAACATCAATATGATTTAAACGGACCGTAAAGGAATACAATGAATCCTAAACTTAGGCTTTAAAGAAAAAAATACTCTATGCGGAAGTCTTAAAATGATAGATCCCTAGAGACACTTGAACCTGGAGTGCTTTGATACCAACTGTGATACCCCTTGATTCTAGAACCACGGGTGATCAAGTCCGAGCACAGATCTGAAGGATACTAAACAATTAAGTATATAAACAAGCATTCGATTACAACAGAAATAACTAAGTATAAATAAAATAGCAGAAAATAAAACTAAATAATAAATCCTTAAATTAATAAATAATTAATCCTCCAACTGAAAAATTCAGAACCTTTAATATCATTATAACTCGGGAATCCATCTAGTGGATCCCTAATGATATCCCAACTGAAACAACTGAAAATAAACATAATCCGAAACTAAAACATAAAGAGAGTCGTACGTAGAATCGGAAGAATGATATAGACTGTCTCTACTCAGCACGAACAAGTTCTATGTCTGAAACTGACGAACACCTGAAAAATAATAGTGGGTCAGGCTCACGAACAAGTTCTTTCTATGACAATCCAAACAGAGACCGGAGAAACTATATATCTATAGCTAACCCATGCAATAACTACATAGTCCATAATACATATACACATTAAAGGAACCTCACTAGACTATAGGGTTGCCTCAACCTGAATAGTAAGCAACATGTAAAACGCACATATAGTGGACATGAGTACATAGACCTACCAGGGCACACAACCACACTATATCTACTTACATATCCCTGGCAATATACGCACCCTAACCACTGATTCTGAGGCTCATGCTCATATCACGGCATATGTATATATATATATATATATATATATATATATATATATATATATATAATATCATATCCATTATAAAGTAATCCACTATATATCATTCAATTTGTTCAGTTGACCTGACACAAATATAAGTAGGACTTAATATTTTAGTTAATCCATTTCCTTATACAAAATAGGTAGGACTTAACTGATAAGTTAATCTATCCCTAGAGTACCACCATCCCATATTGGTGCACTACATCCACACAATCCAATAGTTGATATAACAATTAAAAAAAAATATCCAATAATCAAGAAATAAATATAATAACATAATATCATACTATCACAGAATATGAATGGCTTATAATTTATTTAAGCTTCCTACACCATATATCCTACACAAACTGAAACTTAAACATGCTGATATTTTATTATACAGTTAAGTAAGCATTCTCCATATCCAATTCATGCTACCCATTTATTCTCAATTGCTAGAACAATTTAAAAAGATTAGTCACGTTCATTCCTCGAAGAATTCAAATAGCATGCATTGTTACATTTAAGCTTCTTTAGAATTTATTTAAACTCATACATAGTCCTTAGTGAATGTTTAGGACCCCTCAAAAGCAATTAAAATTAATTTAACGCTGTTTACGAAACATTCCCAGGTAATGCTCGAGCTTTTGTCCTAATTGCTCGAGCTTTCTATCCATAGCTCGAGCTTTACATCTAAGGCTCGAGCTTTTCACCTATGGGTCAAGCTTTTCATCCATGGCTCAAGCTTTGCCTCTAAGGCTCGAGCACTGTAACAACGCAAGAACACTGTTTACGCGATTCAACCCAGAATTTATACTGTGAATTCAATCTTTATTGTTTAAGGATTCTAAGGTATGTTTCTAGATTCCATCAATACACAGATATGAAAATACATCATTTAAACATGTAAAAATTTATAAAGAAATCAAATCAAATTCATGAATTTATTAATTCATACAACAAGAACAACCATGAAATATAATTTATAAAACCTATGTTCTAGATCAATTAAATTATATATTCCAGTTTTAATTGTTCTTTAAATAACCCTAAGATTATACTAGAGATATATATTCCACAGATTAAAGGAGAAATGTAGAACAAGAACTTGTCTTTAGGGATTTGAACAAAAACCCTAGCCTCATTCTTCCTCACTCTCTTCCTTCTTCTTCCTTCTATCTCTCTCTAAAATATATTACGTAATATATTTCTAATCCCCTTTTTCAACCCTATAGTTATATATTTATAGGCTAAATAATAACCCTACTCCTTTTCCCAATCCACATCAAATTAATAAAGAAAATAATAATATTAAAATACTAAAAAGATAACTAAAATATATGTTACATATAATCTATGTATATTCTTTTTATATAAATAAAATAAATACATCAGATTATCACTAAAGGATTTTCCTTATATATATATATATACACACACACACTATCCATAGGTAATTATCCGTACCCATTAAACTCCTTATCCAAGTAGTCCATGGAACCTAATTGGTTGGCCCATGACTACTATCCATAACTATTAGAATAAAATAAAACAACCATTTAAAATATTTAATTCATAACCATTAATTACAAGAAAATACCTAACATTTAAGTAAACAAATACACATCATCTAATACATAATTGAACTAAATAGGTATTTCAAATAAATACAAAGTCAATTAATTCATATAAATAATTAAACAAATAAACAAGAAATCAAATAAAGAATTAAAAACACAATTAAAACAATTAATAAAATACCGAGACTATCCTTTTAAAATTAGGAGTATTAAACTAACTGCTCTCTTTTTTTATGGATTTTTTTTTTTGTTCGGCTCTACCAACTGATTCACTTGCAGATACATATACATATATGTGTATATATATATATATATATATATATATATATATGTATATACAATATATAAACATATACTTCGTATTTAAATTGATATACGAAGTATATGTTTATATATTGTGTGTGTGTCTATATATACACACACACACACACACACACACACACAATATATAAACATATACTTCGTATGTCACCCACCACTGTCAGGCATACCAACTCTAGTCAATGGCTCAAGCATCAATTGGTATAAGCTAGTTTTATTATATTATAAGAATATGTTTCAATATAACTGATATAAAATAAGAATATGTTTTAATATAATTGATATATTACAAGTAAGGGTATTTTGGAGAAATTAATTTATAAATCATTCAATTCCAACTTTTTATTTGATTTAACCAAACACAGCAATGAGAATGATCATTTCTACATCATTCCCATTCCATTCCTGCTTGCATTCCATTCCTGCGCACCAAACATGCCTTAAAAGTCTATTTATTATCACTTGCCACAAGTTTCAAATATATATATATATATATATTTGGAGTATTTAAGATTGGTCATAAGGACCATCTCTCTCAAGTATATATATTCTTTTCTTTAAAAAATAATTCATTCAAATTGAGTAATGTACTATTTTGTAATTTTAATCCATCTTTAGGTTTGTGTGTTTTCCTCTCAAATTTCTACAAAATGCTGGATAGGAAGTTAGGAACATGTCACCTATTATGAAGAAATTATTACATGATCCCGTGTCGATCAGTGAATGACACGCCAGTTAAAAAAATAAATAAATAAAACTTATACAAAACTGATATGCGCAATTGGTCGGGACCAATGGTGGTCCTGGGACCATGTGATAATTTCTCCCAATTATGAGGGTTAAAGCTACATTAATATATATAATTAGGGTTGTAAATGAATCGATAGTTCGACACACAGCTCGAGCTCGACTCGTGTTCATTTACTTAGTAACAAATCAAACTCAAATAAATTTTAAATTAATATATATAAAATGTTCGTTTACGATTATATATATATATATGTGTGTGTGTGCGCACGCGCGCGTGCGCGCACGAATATGCGATATTATTTATACAAGGTTGGTAGAGCCGAGCACTAGCTTGCTTGAACAATTGCAAGCTGAGCTCAACCATGTTTGGGTTAGGCTCGTGTCAAACATCAGCCGAGCTCGAACAACTTTCCAGATTTGCAAGAGGAGCCCGGGCATGCCAATACTCGGCTTGATTACAACCCTAAATTTAACAGACAGGTCCAATATCTTCTGATTGAAAGATAGTTGAAGAAGAGATGGAGGCCTGTGGGCCGTATATTATTATTTCATGGGCCAGTCAACCTTTTTGCCATAATTCAAAGTGGCCCAATAATCCAAACCCTCAATAATCCAAACCAACGAAGGGCCCAACTCGGCAACAACTCTCTTTAGGTTCTCTCGCCCTATTGTGTTCATTGGTAATGGTAACGTATCGAGACTCTGAAATGTGTGTGCGCGCTCGAAGTTCTTATTATTGTTTCTTTATTTGTAGCTCTCTATCCCCAAGTAGGGTTTAGCTAGGGTTTGGCCACTGTTGAGCGGAACCCTAAACTCCAAAGCTGAGGTGCAGCTATTTTTGTGAATAATCAATGGAGGGATTGAAGGTATCTGATGTGAATTTGGTGGTACACGTACACCCATCCAAGTCTAAAAAGGTCTCTGAAGCCATCCTTCGTGAACTGGGTTCTTTGCTTTTCAAGTAATAATCCCCTTACACTCTTTTTCTTCTTTCAATTTCTCAAATTACTTTCATGTGTGTGTGTTACACGGATATATATACACACACATATACACACACTACACATATAGTCTCTCTTACTCGTTGCTTATAAATCTGGATTTAATGATTATAATAGTTGAATTTTTTAAAAGTGAAATGAAACATTAGAAAATTTTGAAAATTTTCATTAACTAAAACCAACTTGAATTGAGTTTTATTTTGGTATTTTTAGATAATATATCAAGAAGTGGCCGGTCTAGATCCATCATTGAATTACTCTGGCCATAATTGAGATTCATATATATTGAACTCTGGGAAAAAAATTTGTTTGCCCATGTTTATTCTCACTGATTTCTATCTTATTACTATTATTATTTTGTTGCTGTAATTTCCCTTACAGGTTTAGTGAAACTTTTGATGGTGTGGTATTGGCATACGACGTTAACATCCTCAGTGATCTGGCAAAGATTCTTCCTGGGATTCATCCTTATTTTGGTGTGAAGCTAAAAGCAAAACTATTGCTTTTTTATCCAAAGCCAGACATGATTTTAGGTATTTTTCCTGTGATTGTTATTATCTATTTCATGGTGTATCTACAAATATGTATTCTATTATGCGACTTACATAATGTGTCAAATTTTCTAATCGAGTTAAAATCATACTAAAATTGTTAAATTGTTTATGTTTTAGCACTTGTTTCAACTTCTTTTCCCCTCTCTCTATATATGTGTGTCTCAAAGAAATGCTTAGGGAGGGATATAGCTTGCACATTGTTAGAAATTGATTTCAATTGTCATGAAAATGTTCTCTATATCATTTTGTTTTAACCTTATTGATTTCCCCTTTTTGATATTCCACATGTTTTAGAAGGAAAGGTTGTGAAAATTGGCCAGCAATCCATTCATGTAATTGTTCTTGGTTTTTCATCTGCAATCATAACAGAGGAAGACATTCGTGAAGAATTTGAATATAAAGATGTAAGTACCTCTGAACTATTGAGTAAATTTACCGATTTATTGGGGTAGAAAGTTGATATAAATTAAAGCATTGCCTTACACGCTTTATTTTGTCACAGAAACATGGTCTGGAAGTATTTGCCAGCACATCTCACAGGCGACACAAGATAAAAGTTGGAACCGTAATACGTTTCTTAGTCAAGCGGTGATTTTACTCCCCTATATAATACTATCATTTAACTGCAAATACAATGTTTTAAATTGAATACTCGTAAACATATTTTAAATAAATGTTCTCTCTCTGTGTCTCTCTCTGTTACACGCACGCACACACATCTCTTTGCAGATGTATATGCCTGAATGGGCTCACAGGTTGCATACAGTTTTAAGACTTAATATGTTGAAACTTGTAGAATAATTCTGTGAATTTGTTTAATTCTATTGGAAAACAGTGGATTAAGGAACCTCTGAATCAGTTTATGTATTCGCTTGTCCATTAAACTCCATCCCAGAGAAGGATTTTTTCTTTCTGTTTTTCATTTGTCAATAGTGTACTTTTTCCTTCTTCCCAAAAAAGATGTTACATTATTCTTTTTGTGTTTTTGTGATATTAGTTTGATCATCTAAGATTTGGCCAGGTTTCTGTTTTTGCTCCACTATATTGATATAATAAGGGCTATGATTTAGTTGGCATACTTTACATGCTATTATAAGTGATTTATTTCACCAACAATAATTGCATTAATTTTACCAGCTATGTTGTTATTCGGTTGCTGTAATGTATTATATTGATTGTTCAGAAAATTTTAAAATTAATGGACCTTGCATAACAAGCAAATTTTCTGATGCAACCTGTATATGATTGCACATAATGGACGAGGTGATCCATTGTCTTGCATTCATTACTTCTTTGTTCCCATTGACCAAAAAAGTTATATTAACATGTTTCAAGCAAATTGAAGCCCTTGATGGAAAGCTTGCGATTTTGCAAAATTATCAGATATATTCCTAACATTAATAGAAAAGCTGATAATATATTTACTGTCTCATGACCAAGAGAATATTTAGTTCCAATAGGCTTGTTTGCCTTCGGAATCCTATCAGGACAGCACCTTGTTTTTACTTTCAATAGTGTTGAGCTCACACTAGAATTTAAACGTACCATGTAATATATGCAAACAAAAATGGTGAGCACGTGCTAGAGCATTGTGTCATCCTCTATTTTTAATTTTTTGACACATTGAAAATTCCCTGTGCTTGGCCAGCCATACCCACTGCAATTAAGTGCCTCTCAAGAGGTATAATTTATTTTTTTGCTGGCGCAAGGCTGATGCCTTTTTTATACTTAACCTGAATGTTTTTCTTAGCTTCCTCATCTAATCTGATCGACAAATGTCATAATGAAATTGAAGACAAATGTAATATGGCGATTACTTGTTTTATCAACCTATATCCTTTTGACTGTCAAGATTAGATTGTGCATTGACACCAATGCCCCTCCCTATCCCACTCCCCTAAATATGTGGAAATATGTTAATTTGGCTTAGGAATTAGGATAGCTCCGCTAAATTTGTTGGTTGCACTAAATGTGTGTTTGTGTGTGTCAATCGGTGAAACCAAAGTTACACATTTAAAGTTTCCCCCATTCTATTCTATAATAATAATCCTCCGTCCACATTATAGAATTAAAAGAATCCTATTTTGAATTTGTGGGTCACATGACTTGATATGGAACTCTCTTGCAGTTTTGATGAAGAGATACTCCATATTTCGGGATCTTTGGTTCCAGTTCACACTGGAAATGTTCATTGGTTGGATAAAAAATTGGAAGATAGGACGCATGTCAACAGGTTTTAATCTTAACTTTGATCATGCATATTGAAAAAAGAATGTGCATTAATTTAGAATGTGCTACAGGACACATTTTTTTTCCCCTTAATGAAACAATTTTGTAGGACTGCTGAGAAGCGGAGAGAAAGTGAGGGAAGAGTGGAAATGGAGGAGCATGAAAAAGTAATTAATCATGGGGAAGTGTTACCCTTGAAGAGCGACCACCCAACTAAGAAGTCAAAGAGACGGAGTAGTGGTGATGATTGAAGATTGCTGCAGAGTCGGATGCTTCTAACATGTTTTTTCTTGGTAACTCTCTTCTTTCGTGGTATCAGTGTTATGTTCTATAATGTCTGGAATTTGTTGGCTGATGGAGCCTTGGTTATTTTATTTTATCTTCACCTTCTAACTGCCCTTCTTGCAACCTGTTATGAATGAAATTCTTTTGGTCCTTTTGGCTGTTCATGTAACACTTGAATTGTGAAAATGAATTTTTCTATCTGACTTCTGCTGGGTAGTCCTTTTTTGCTTTCTATCAGACAAACTAGGATTTGCCAAGCCGTTTATTTACAGTGTTCCATACATGATAATTAAGAAATGTTGAGCTGCTGGAGTGTGCTCTTTCTATCTGTCAAGGTTTGTACTATTTCTAATTATTTCGATTCTTAATTGAAGTCCCTGCAGTATGATTGCAGCATTTAGAACCCTGATTGAGAAAAATCTGGTTTCTGGAAGTAGTAGAAAGAATGAAAACTTGCTTGAAATATGTATTTGTATCCTAGAAAACCATTTGAATTCTTTTCAGAAATGCTTTAGAAAAGAAATACTCTCTCTTGGGTTGTTATTGGAAATAACTTCATACGTCACAACGACTCTCCGAAAGCTCTATTTTTGAATAAAAATAAAACAAAGATCAGAGAAGGAGAATAGGAGACTTTAAAAAATTAAATAAATAAATAAAGCAGGTTACCACTACTGAACTGCACCAGAAAGGCATGGAGTGATTTTTAAGTCTATAGCCCTTTTCTGTTTTTGACAAATTTGATTACAAATCCGGCATCTCAACAACCTCGCAAACAACATTCTATAATTCATCGACATTGGTTCAATGGATCTCAGCTTCAAATATTTTCCTAATACTTCTTATTTCTTTTGACATTGTTTTTATTAATTTTTCTTTTTTAAATTGTTCAATGATTTTCAAACAACTGCCCTGAGTCATATTTTTAATAATTTTTTCCTTATATTTTCCATTGTTGGTTTTCAGATTGTCTTGTTTCCACTTCCTGAAACTGTGGTTATAATATCGCTGTATATGATAGGAGCCTGTAAATCTTCTTAAAGCGCAGCTTTAGTGACATTATACATTGTCTGGTGACTCTATTATTCTTATTCAAATAGAAAACGTTCTTGTACTTTTTGGGGAAAAAGAAAGATCATATTCTCTCAACTTTTTCTTTCTATATACAGAACTTGATTCGAGTGTCCTGTTACTAGTGACTGACAAACTATTACTGAAGAGGAAACCAAAATCAGAGATTATTCTGCAGTAGTCGACCTGACTCTAATAGGGACGATAATTGGTTCTAAATACTTTTTCCACCTGACTCTAATAGGGATGAGACTGACTGTAGTTCTCTCCATTCTGCTGAATATTTAATAGAGAACTGGAATTTTAAGATGTTACTTATGCCAGTCTGTATGAAAGAGCTACCATGCCATATTAGCCTTTATTTAGCTGTACAATATGAAAGAACGGTATTTTTAAAACAGAGTCTCACCTCAAAGGAATCGATCACCCTAAAAATATGGCCCAGCCGGTCACACAAAATGTACAGACTGTAAAATGATGTGATAAAGACGCGATATTGGCAAGGCTTTCAGCTAACCACTTGTTTCATATATTTATCTAAAAATTGGATGTATACATTAGTAGGGAGGAAAGGGTCTTGGCCAACTTATTTCTTCAATAATTATACCGGATTTAGTTCTTCATACGTTTTTTTGGTTAGTGGTTATGCTTCATACTTGTTATACTAATTTCAGAATTTTGTTATGCTGCTTCTTAAAGTTTATGAAGTTTATAGAGCACACTTGAGCCTGTTATCTTGGGAATTCATTATGCTTGTCACACTTAGGTTTACAGGCAGTCAAGGCCAAGATATGATGCATCAGACAATGCAGGTAAGTTGGGTCGGGAGATATCTCTTTCATTATTCTGAAACAAAAACCAATACATCACTAAACCAAGGAAAATTGCCGGCCAAGTTGATCATTTGTTAATAGCAATTTGTGTTATTTATATTATAATCCTATTTTTTATGGTGTAATTGCTCTGTATCTCGTGTATGCTACTGTTATATATATATATATATATATATATATATATATATATATATATATATATATTGGAGAAAAGAGAGAATAATCGGTGGTTAGGGTGTTATGTTTGTCTTGCAGGGTCTGCAAACTTGGTTTCCATGAGGTGAATGACAAAATTCAGGGTCCCACAAGTTTAACGGCCGAAGGTGAAGGTGAAGGTGAAGGTGAGGCGGAAACACATTTAGTTAGACACGGATTGTCTTTGGGGGTGGTGGTTAAGTTCCAGATTTAGGGCACAAAGCCATAGTTTAAACACATACACCTAACTTTGTATGAGAAGAAAAATGTAACCATCTGATTTTTAGTTCTCACTGTATCCTGTGCGTCTTCTATGTTTTGATTCACTGTTTGGTTTTCATATTCAACCATATTCGTATTTACATAAATAATTATCCAAACCATAGTCGGTTAGATAATTATCCGACCATATCTCTATTAACATTAATGTTATTAGACATATGACTTTGACATACATAACAAATTCAATCATTCACGTATTAACATACTACCCATTACTTTGGCATGGGAGTAATTTAGGCATCGTTCGCGGCCCATGTAAGCAGCACCTTATTGCAAGTATAAGTAGAGAAAAATAGAGCCTCTAAGAGAGGATTAATCTTCATGGCGGTCTTCTTTCGAATCATCTTTATTCTCTTCGTTCTCTCTCTCTCTCATTTCTTCATGGGTATGCGGAAAAAAATTTCGACTTTGGGAGCGGTGGTGGCTTTAGTGGTGGCGCGAGAAGGGGCAGGGGAAGAGGTGGGCGTAGTAGAGATCCAGATGCTCCTCCAGGTGATGGCGATGGTGATGATGGTTCGCCCCCTTTTAGATATACACCAGGTGATGACTATCAACATTGCCCGTTCGCCAAATGCATTCCACAGTAATTAGTTATGAAATCAAGTGTGCTTAATCCTATAATTAAATTCCGGCTCCCCCCCCCCCCCCCCCCCCCCCCCCCCCCACACACACACACACACACACAAAAAAAATCTATAATTTAATGTCTTGATTAAAGTGTGTTTACTGCCTTTTGAAAATAAGTGTATTATTTAATTACACAATTAAGTGTGTTGTATTATGAATAAAGAATTAAAAGTGTTTTTCGTCATAATGAAATGAAAACAAGTTTTTTTTTTTTTGTTTTTTTCACACATTTTTTTGTTTACACCGAGTTCAAACCCCTCCCAAGAAAGGAGGTTATGCCATGGGATAGATGCCCTTCCGTAAATGAAAACATGAATTGAGTGTTTTAAAAAACCTTAAAATATTGTGATGAAAATTTGAACCAAGTGCTTTGAAGAGGCAGAAATAAGCAATTGTACTTCTCGTATAAATGGAAATAGGAAGATCATATATAGAGTAATGATAAGTCTTCAAATATGTAAGTGTGTGTTTCTAGCCATGAAAAAAAAAAATATTAACTGTAAAATAAAATGTCAAAAAGGCCCTTATTGCGTTTTAACATGTTTCTTCCCATTTTTATCTCACTTTTCTTTCTTCCCCTCTCCTCTGCCATCCTTTTATCAAACCTTTGCAACATTTTTTTTTTTGTCCCTCCAGATTCATAATTCTGGATTCTTCTTTTAATTCTCTACCTTTTCAAAGTTTAAGCAGCTGATTAGAAATTTGTTAATACGTTTTCCAATGGCATAATCATGTGAAGACAAATATGAAACAAACCGCATAACAATAAAAAGGCTCAAGGGTCGTGTCAAATTGGCATCGTCCCTAAAAATATTTAATTGATTTATTATAAGGCCTAAAACTGTATAGAGAATAAATTGATTTATTTGAATTGACAAGAATATTTAATCGATGAACAATATCTTCTGTTCAGATTCAATGGATAGATAGTTTTTGTTCATCGGCGTGTCTTGGTGGACGATTTTGAATCAAAGCTCGTCGATGAATAAAGAAAACAAGGAGTCATAAAAGGAACGAAGAGAACCTTATGTTGCGTTTGGTGTGTAGGAATGCAAGTGAGATTGGAATGAGAATGGGAATGGAATGCAATGAACATTTTCATTCTATTATTTGGTTGTAAATATGAAATGTGTAGGAATGAAATGATAATAACCATTCTAGTATTTGGTTGGACCAATTTAAAATTCAGAATAGAATAAATTTCAAATTGAATTCTCCAAATTATTCCTCTTAGTAACAAATAAATTAAATTAACAAAATAATATTCTCTAAAAATTTTTTTAAATAAATGGTGGCAGTGGTGGCGGCGGTGGAGGTAGAAAGCGGTAGTGGTGTAGGTGGTGGTGTTGGAAAACGTCAGTGGTGGAAGGCGATGGCGCGGTGGTGAAAGATGGCAGCAGTGGTGTTGGTGGAAGGCGGTGGTAGTAGTGCTGTGGTGGTGGTGGAAGGAGATAGTGGTGTAGGTGGCGGTTGTGGAAGGCAGTTGAGGTCGCGATGGTGGTGGTGTAAGGTGGTGGCGGTGGTCGAGAAGGAAGGCAGTGGTGGTGGAAGGTGGTGGAGGTGGCAGTGGTGGAAGGCGATGGTGGAAGGCGGTGGCGGTGGCAATGGAAGGCGGCGGTGGTGATGGTGGTGGAAGGCGGTGGCGGCGGCAATGGCGGTGGCGGAAATGGCAATGGTGGTGGTGTAAGATGGTGGCGTTAGAAGGTAGTGGCGATGGAAGGTCGTGGCAGTGGTGAAAGACAGTGGTCGAAGGTGGTAGTGGTGATGAAAAGCGGCGGTAGTGGTGATGAAAGGCGGCGGCGGCGATAGGTGGTGGCGGTGGAAGGCGGTAGCGGTGGTGGTGTAAAGTGGTAGGTAATGGTGAAAGTCGGTGGCGGCGGCGGTGGTGGTAGTGGTAGTGGCGGTGAAAGGCGGAGGTGGTTGTGGTGGAAGGTAATGGTTGTTTTTGGACTTGGAACACGAGGGTTTTTTGGGAAGTTGATTTTTAAAAAAAAATTACTTGGGAATGAAATGGTCATTCTATACGTTTAGTTGTGGAATGAATTTTCATTTATAGGCTTGGATTTTCATTCCAATGGAATGACCATTCCTACTTTAAATTGCATACCAAACAAAGGAATGGTTGGAATAGGCATTCCATTCCATTCCTGCACATTAAACGCAATTTTAGAGTTTGGTGGAAAAGAGAAAAGGTAAGGAGCCATGAAAATGAAAACAAGGAAGCGTTAGGTTGAGAAAAGGAAAAAATGATATTTGAGGGGAAAAAAATGAGCAAAAAGAAAAAATGAAGAAAAAAAGAGACATAATCTAAGAAAGTTTGATTGGGGTTTATATTATCATTTTAATTTAATAAAAAGATAGATGGAGTGCAATAGTATTTTTTAAGAGACAATAATTTTTTAAATGACATAACTGTCCTTTCATATTTCATCTTTTTCTCATTAATCTTTAATAATGTAGGTCTCTTTTAACAAGTCAATAAATATATATGTGTGTGCGCGTGTCTATTGAATAAATTTATTTTTTTACGGGTGGTGTTGTGCCGCGAGCACTAAAAGCTTACAAAGTGGACTAAGATGAGTGTGACCAAGTTTTACATTTATAATTTGCCACTATTACCTTTCACTAAAAATATAGTTAGGTTGAGTAGGGATCGTCCCAAGGGATTGGTGGGTCGTATTAGGTTGTGGAATCGAGATTAAGGTTAGTAGGTCGAGTGATCAAAAGATTGGTTGGTGATTGAATTATACTAAGATGCAATTTAAACTAAAGTAAATAATTAAATGCAATAGAGAGAAAATAAGAGAGAGAGAGATCTTGGAGTTTAGAGATCACCACTAAACATAACTTTTCTACACCGTTAATAAATAATTAATGAGGGGGAAAACATGTAGTGTAACAATAGTGTGTGTGTGTGGTTGTTTCAACAAGCATGGATGACGAATTAAGTATATATTGTCTAAGCAACATAGTGGATAGCACAATATATCAAACTACGCCATTAATCCTTTCTTTAAGCTCAAAATCCAAACACATCACAAGGTTTGAGACATATGCTACTTGTTTCATAAGTATGGAATATCAAACAACAAACATGGATTGTCCTCTTATTTAACATCTAAACTACAACTACACTATAATTAAGCTAATGACATGAAATTAAACTAATTAAACTAAGGGAGCGGCACAATCCATCAAGAAATGAATATGAACCATCAAATAAACCACAAGAACATTCTATTAAGCACTATGTCTTGACAATCTTTAGATCTATAGCATCAATACACATAGAAATGCATCAATAACACAAAATTTAGAGACAAACACATGAACATCTATTCTAGCATACATAGACATATGTATAGAATGAAATGATCAATTGGAAGCATTAAACCACACAAATCATTGAATAAACAAGATCTATGTATATAAAAATGTCAAAACATATATCACAATACAAATCCCCTCAAAAATACATAAATCAAGATGTAGAAAGCATACTTAGGGTTAACTCTAACCCCAAGAAGATGTCTAGCCACCCATGAATGGTGTCTTCCAACCCTCAAGGGCTAACTCCATGGTAGAAATTGCTCCTCTTCTTGGTTGATGGAAGAACTCCAAGCTTGTGTCTCTAGCCTCCTCTCCTCTTTTCTTCCTCACTAAGAATATGATACGGAAATTGTGTCAAAAGTCTTTTTGTAAAAGTGGCTCATATTCCTTATATAGGTAGGTCAAATGTCACACCCAATAGTCTGGGCTCGCACATTAATATTCCTCCAATGATTGCACCATGAGCCAACCTTTAATGAGCTGGATTTTGTCTTTTTTTGGGCTTGAGGAAGTTCGATCGATCGAACTTGTGGTGAGATCGATCGAATATGGCTGAGATCTATCAAACTTTGGCTGGATCGATCTTCCCATAGCGGCGCCTTTTTGGATAAGGACAGATCTGAGATATTTGGGGGAATGAGACAAAAGTGGTAGGTAGGGTGGTACAATAGGATAAGATGGAATCTTTTCGATTGATCTGAGAATTGTTGGATCGATCGAACTTTGTGGGATCTTTAGATAAGGACAAAAGAGTTTGGATCCATCTTGAAATGTCTAGATCGATGAATTTTCGATCGATCGAAATATACTTGTGATCGATTGAACCTGCTGAATTCCATACTTTGTTTCAATTTACTTCCACTTTGCTCCTTTCTTCTATCCAGCTTGAGTTAGCTTCTTTTAAACTCTTATTTGGCTGAATTAGCTTATTTTGGGGATAAACACCTAAAAAGGGCAATAACACGAAATTAGTCTAAAATGGGAAAGTAAGATAAATAAAGGTCTTAAAATACCTAAACTTAAGGAGTTTAAATGCACACTTTTCAGCGCTCATCAACGGGACCCAAAAAAAATAAAAGTTGAATAAATTGCCTCTTTTAG